TTGATGTTAGGTAATTTTTTTTGTTTTTACGAGTGGGAAAAAAGGCAAGGAAAAACTCAAAGACAAATTTTAACCTTATTGGAGTTCAGGTGGCATGAACCAGGGTTTCCAAAGGCTGGTCTCCACTCAGTAAGCTATTGTATCATCAAGGAACCAGGCCAGAAAGATGAAATGCCTGAAGACATGTGTCCCAAATTCAAATACCTTAAAAGAACCAAGGAGGTCACAAAGAGTAAGACAACAGGGAATGGCGAGGTCTGTGCCTCACTAAAGTGATCACATAGCACATAAGCATTAAAATTCAATTTCAAAGAACTTTCTTAGGTCACTATTGATGATACTAAAAAGCCATATACCATTTCTCAAAGTCCTGAACTTCTAAAAATCTTATCTATAAAGACACACTTCCTCTGAGACATAGAAAATCAATCGTTCAGTATCATTGTACATTCACAATTGGTGGAAATCAACTTAAAAATTAAAAATACTCAAAAGGCAAACAGTTCACAAAAGAGTTAATACACATGGCTAATAAAGATCTGAAAATGTTTTCATCCACACTAAAAATATAGGAAATGAAAATGAACTGAGATGCCATTTTTCATCATTTAAATTAGCAATGATTTAAAAAAACCGACCAAACGCAAAGCTCATAAGGAAGCATAAAAATGAGTACTCTCACACAGGGGAGGGGGGCTGAAACCAAGCAATATTTCTAGGAAAATCATGTATGTGTCACTGGTCGTAATGCTTTTCTTAATCCTATGTGAAAGGACAAGGTTTCCTCTCTTACAAATATGCCTCCTATTTCCCAGTGGATAATGTAATTTCATTTTGGTTTGATCGAAGTTCAGAGAAAAATTTGTGGCCTCAACTTTGAATCAGTAAGCCACACTGAATTTTAGACTAGACCTTAATATCCTATTCTACTTATATTCCTCCTAATTTTGATTTCATCTACTTTTCCCATTGTTTTGTACCTCCCATCTTGAATGCCATGAAATATCTGTAAAAAGAGGCAGAATATAAATAACTAAAATGTCATGAAAACAGAGAAAATGTGCTTGTCAAGGATCAATTGCAGTACCAATATTTGAATTGCTATTCAAAAAAAATGGAGAACGTTATTTAGCAAAAAGTGAGAATTTCGCCTCATGTTACAAAGCTGAACACCATGAAGTTTTAATGAAATTGCCTCCAACCATTTTAAGACACGGCAATACTATTTTAAAGCCTTTGTTTTACTTTTTGGTGGGGCTGTCACTATGCCAAAATGGAACCCAAGAGATCAGACAGTCACTCAGTTGGACAGTGGCTCATTCTGAAGAACTATCTACAACATCTTTTTATGAGCATCTAATTAGATAACCCTTTCACTGCCTTTTCTGTCCCAATGTCAAACGTTCTGTTGAATCCAATGACAGGTTAAAAACCTTGATAAGTGACAGAAGAGGGAAGTAATGACTTGATTGATGTCTTTTAGAGCTAATTTAACAAAAGTTTATCTAAATTTTCTGGGATAAAATACCTGTGACTTGTCAAGACATCTTTTGTGTGATAGAATATAGAGTTATAACACGACATACAGGCATACCTGAAATGCAATCATAACAAATATGCAATAGAAGAGAATGTTGGCAAATTGTTTCAATGCTTGAAGACTTAGCTTTAACGTCTCTTAAAAATTCAGCAGTGAATTCACGTCACTTAGCTATGTTCTTCTAAGAAACAACAATGGTGGCCCTCTCTAGCACAGAAGGCCTTCAGGGGACGGGATCAAATCCACTTTGCCATTTTATCCAATGGGATCCTGGGCAAATCATTTAATCTTTCTACATGTCAGTTTCCTGATCTATAAAGTGGGCTGGCAGTAACCACTTGTCGAAATTGCTGGCAGGATTAAATGAGGTAAAATATATAAAGCACTATTACAGTGCATGGCATATTTACCGAGGGCTCGATATCTGATATGGCCTATTATTATTTAAGTATTACTATCCCATTTGTAAAATGATGACAATGATATTAACTCACTGTTATATAGATCAAATAAGATGAGAAAAACAGATAACATGGATGCCAATAAAAGATGTACAATGGAGGGGAGGAACAATTATGATTGTGACGAGAAAGCAGTTAATAGAACCATAAATTCTGATAAACTACTTCAGATAGTATGAGTCACCCCTAATACAACAATTGATTTTTAAAATCAATAAAACCTGTTGGGGCTTCATCCAGTGACAATTGTCGAATTAATATAAAATTTGACAAGAATGGCACTGCTGAATGCGAGTGCCTTCCAAAGAATTTTAGGAGAGATAAGATGTTTAAAGTTACAGGACTTCGAGCTCTACCTCTTCTGTAATTCACATTTTTTAATCCTCACCCCTTGAGGAGGCAGCTAACTCAGGAGGGAGGCTGCCTCAGCAGGACGCCGAGGGGAGCTTCGCCATACTCCACCACTCCCTGCCCTTCCAAGCCCAACACCTCCAGGAATTCCTCTTCTCTTTGTCCACTTTCAACACGGGAGCCAAACCAAGCATCTCTCAGATTATCTCTGTAGGGCAGAGCACCTTCCTTCCTTAAAGGCTTCTCTCCCTTTCGACTTTTCTCTCTCTATCAACACCTCCTCTCGACCTCTCCCTCTCCCCACCTCAACCTCTCTCAACTTCTGTCTCGCTATCTCACTCTCAATATTTATCTCCTCTCCCCCTCCAGCCCTATGGCCTCCATTCCTCTACAGGGACCTGCCAGGAGAGCACGCACTGCCTTACAGAGACGGCTGACCACACAGGACATGTAACTCTCACGGTGGGAGCCTTGTGGACTCATTTGTGAAATCAAGTCACAAATCACCAAAGCTCAGGTCAAACGGCATACTCAAAGGCCGTGCTTTCCTTTTTCTGGGGCCACGATTTTATTTGCTTACTCTCTGACAAAGATGGATAATTCGACCTCAAACAGGAAATCCTTCGAGCACTTTGAAATGACGACTCCAAAGCAGAAAACAATAACCAATAATGACGACCAGAGCGTCAGTCCTCCCACCATTGCCTCCCATCAGGTCTCAAGGTCTTACTGGCCCCTCAGGAAGAGTTTCCCACCCTCAGCGGGAGGAACGATTGGCCTTGAGCTGAGCATACAAATTATAAGGTTATTAAAGGTATTTAAAATCATTTATCCCACTCAATCACCGTAAAACTTGGATTTTTTTTTTTTTTTTTTTGAATCTCAGAAAATAAATGACAGAAAGAAACTCAAGTACCGTGGGTATTTTCGAATCTTAAGGACAGAATGAATGTCCCCCACTCCCTCTCTGTCCTCCCCCCACCCCAGCTGCTCCAGTGGCCGTCATCGCTCTGCAGGTAGAGAATCTGGGTTTCCACAGGCTGAGGGACAATAGCACTAACACTGCCCCTGTGCAAGATGCACATCCTTTGCAGATTTTGGGGTCATTCTTTGACACAGAAGCTAGATTTCAAAAGAGGACTGGACAGGAGATACGGATGGGGAAAGACAAAAGTGGCTTGTAGTTTTAGAGAGAAAAGGAAAAATATAGGAAGAATTCAGGGCCAAATAATCTTAACCATGAGCCATAGGCACCTTAGCAATTTAGGCCAGAGGCTTCGACCCAAGCCTCATCTATCTGGATTTCGAGTGCTCTGTGTTCACTTGGCATATAATGTTTTTAAAATGTAAGCCTACATTTAAAACGTGGGAGATTTCCCATGAAACACAGATCTGGCAACTCTGGCCCATTTTTCCTCAGGGCAGGCACAGGTGGAGCAGGGGAGGGACAGCTGCTCCCCAGGGTCGATGTGCTCACACTGTGATTCTCACTTCCGCCCCAACCCTCGCCACCTCTTCCCACCCAGGACTTCACTGTTTTACTTCTCTCCCCTGCCTTTGAGGACATTTGAGTTTATGGCTCCCCATCGAGGCCACTTTAACTTGTTCTACCCATGAGGTGAATAAAGCCCAGAGTGGGGCAGTCACTTGCTTAAAATCACACAGCTTCTCAGAGCAGAGCCACACCAGAACCCCAATTCCTTTACACACGACCAAGCAATTCTGACCTTTTTTCTGGTGCTCGCGGTCTTGTCCCTGAAGTTTCCTCTTCCAGATACACAATCTTTGACCTTATACTTGGTTGATCTTTGAGGCTCCTTAACCTTCATAATCTAGTAACTATGGATTATCGTGCTCTCCAGTAGTGACTTGTAGAGTCCTCCCAGGTGCCAGGCCCTGAGCTCTGTGCACCCTCTCAACGTCTTCACGACTCTGAGAGATATGAGTTACGAACACCACTTTACAGCTGAGGAGGGTAAGGCTGAGGTCAAGGGCACCCAGACAAATTCAGTGGCTGAGCTGCCCTTGAACCCAGGCCTATCTGGCCCATACACTGGCAGCAAGGCTCGCTGCCTTGCAAATATCCACCCTCCCCTACAAGTAAAAAAAAAAAATCAGAACTTATTCGGTCCTGAAAAAAGTTAAACAATAGGGTCCCAAGTAAAATACCAGAAAAGGGCTCCCCCTGTCTACCTGGAATTTTCATTGGGTTTTGCCAATGAAAATGCCAGCTGCCCTCACTGCACTAGAAGTGCCCTCAAGGGAAGTGCCCTGCCTTCTTATATGTTGTCTCTCCAATGTGTATAGAGTAGTCTCTTAATACCAACTGGGACTATTAGTCAACAGCTTCTAGTTTTAGTTTTTCAAGCCATTTTACTAAAATTGGCCTCGTGGGAGGATGCTCTTTATGGTCTTTCCTGGGTTCTCAGAACCAAAGTACATGAAATCCATAGGTATAGGTATGTTTGGCTTTGCAAACAAAACGAATTGTGTTCAAAGCTTTTTAATTTTGTCTGTTATTTTTCCAAAGTAAACCAGGTGAAAATTAAACTCCAATTAAAAAAAAAGAGCACGTGTTCAAAGTACTTGAATACCAAAGCAGGTAGCTGTTGAAGTATTAGTGATTCATAAGTAATAGTAAGACTTACAACCCATATGATGGTCAGTCTTCTGGATAAAAAAGGATCGATATGCCAGTGAGTGAATGGAAGAAATGTGATGTAGAACACTTCTTGACCCAAAGCAGCCGAAAATCTGAATAGGTAATAGTAGAAATAATTCTTCACGATGTAGTTCTGTTCATAAGCCTAAAAGAAAAAAGTTAGAAGACTGTGAGTTCATTGAACAGGCCACGACAGGGCAAATTTTAAAATCTCTAACACTCACAGGTCTCAGGTGCCAAGGTGCTGCCTCCCCACCTCCACCCCATTACGTAATCACGGTATCATTACGATCCATTGTACACAGTTGTCGACCACCTAGCAACCCCCATTTGTCCACGCAGTCACAGATGATGTTAGTTCTTCATAACATTAAATAAGTAACATCCAAGGAATAAGTATCAAGGAAGACACAAAGGAGCCCAAACCCTTTTCCTGTGTAGACAGAAGGCTAGAAACCAGAAGGTGAACTCTGTTAGGACATGATATATGGGTCTACGACTGTGGTAGGCAGATAATGCCCCCGAGGGTTCTACTTTCTAATCCTTAGAAGCTGTGACGATGTTACCCCCTTATAGAGCAAAAGGGGCTTCGCACATGTAATTAATAATTTTGAGATAGAGATATTATCTTGGATTATCTTGGTGGACGCTATATAATCACAAGGATCCTTAAAAATGGCAGAGGGAGGCAGAAAGGTCAAGAGTCAGAGAGCGATCTGAAGATGCTGTGCTCTGGCTTTGAAGATGGAGGAAGGGGCCACAAGCCACAGGATGCAAGCAGCCTCTGCAAGCTGGAAAATGTAAGGAAACAGATTCTTCCCTTGAGCCTCCAAAAGGAATGTGGGCCAGTTGATGCCTTGATTTTAGCCAAATGAGAACCATTTGAACGACTGACTCCTACAGCCGTAAGAGAATAAATCTGGGTTGTTTTAAGCCACTGTCATTGGTAATTAATTACAGCAGTAATAGATAATACAAAGACTTTAGAAAAATCACTTGTCGATGAATGTTTTATCTTTTAAATGGAACAAATAAGTTTAACCCACTCCAGTGATTGCAAGAAACACAGTAGATACATACGGGACATGCTAAAGTGCCCTCCCATTTTCTATCATCCTTTCCCTGTCTCTTATCCTAGAAGTATGCAGGAAGATAAAAGCCTAAGAGGCTTAAAACAAGAATAAGCAATCTAATAAAAAATATGATAAACATCCTCAAATTATGGTATATTAGTGATGAGTTAAAAAAATAAAACGTGCTCTTTCTGGTCATCATAGACTTTAAAAACAATAAAAGTAACATGCCAAGGCTGAAAATGGGGTGGAAAAGAGGCAGCCCTAACTCGGGCAACTTGTGTCAAGACTCTTGTAGGTATGGGCTTTGTTTTGTTTGTTCTACTCAAAGTCTGAGGTCCTTGAACCCTGGAGGAATTCAGAGAATGAATTATATGTATGTATTCTTCATATATTCCTTCTGTGCCTATGATGAGTGTCAAGAATATTCAGATGAAGCAGGCATGACACCTGGTTTCAGGGGACCCATGTGGAAGGGGTGGGAGAGGAAAGGGGGGAGGGGCCAAAGAGTATAATTTGGGGGAATGAATTTTTAAAGGACCAATAATTAGTTCAAAGCTTTGCAAACATCCAAGAGTATTTTTGTACTTAAGGAATAAAAACAGATGACCTTGGAAATTGCAAGAATATAATTGCACTTGACATCGTTGGCTGCCTACCAAGTATGCATTCCTCTCTTTCTCTAAGAGATTCCTGATTTTATTCCAGCTTCTCTACCTCCCCTACGGAGCCCCATGACTCAGGGGTAAGCTGACACTGCCGTCGGCTCCAGAGGTATATCTGAATTCATCTAAACCGGTCACAGAAAGTTCAAGAATTCAGCCTCAAGCCAAGCAATGCATGATACTGCCCTGGAGAAAGTTACTAGGCTGGAGTAAGCACATGTTGCAAGCAACAAGGTCATCTCTCTTTGAGATGAAGTTGACTTCTAAGTGAATTCAAACGAGAGAGAATGGCAATAGAACTACCCTAAACAGGAAGAACAGTAATGCACAAAACAAATTAAATAAGAAGTGTACAATTTCAGCTCTCTGCCAAGATAATATTATGGCTGGATTTCCAAAACAAGAACAAGGGACTGTGACAAAGAAGTGACACACTCCCCTTTCATCTAAGGTGAGCATTAATCTGCGAGTTGTTTTATCAACGTACATCCAACATGCTTGACCTTGAGGCAAAACCTGTGAAGAGCCCCTTTAGCATAAAGATTAGTTATTTTAACCTGCCAAGCTATAAGGTACACCTGGTAATGTTTCACATTGAAGCTTTACAAGAACTTTTGCCAAACTGACAAGGGTCAAACCCCTCCCTCATGTCATTCCAAGTTATTGACAGACTCAGCTACAAGACAACCATTTTTCTACGCTGGAGATTTACCTGAAACCAAGTTCAATATCTGAATCCCAGTAAATAATTGAAAAGACTGTCAAGGAAATTGCTTTAGCATTACACATTACTAATTATTATCTTTAGACAGGCTTTTTATAATATCTTAGAGATTCTCTTTTGCAGGGGGAGAGAGGTAAATATTTTCTCTATTTCCAGGAACAGAAGCAGCAAAGGTAAAATTTTAAATAACAGCATACATATAGGATACCCAAAGGATTTTTTAGCGAACATCTCTGTATATGTGATTAAATGGCTTGAGAGCCAATAGTTACCTTCGAATTATTGTGGGTCATATGTACCTAAACAGTTAAGTACTTGCCTTTTTCAGAACAAGAATCTAAGTTTCCCTTGTTGGAAGTGTCAGTGTGTATGACTTCAATACTTCCTTGGAAATAACAAGAAGGTCAGTTCCAGTGTATGTGTTGGTCCCACTGGGAACGGTCAGAGGGAGAGGAAACAGGGTTAGCAATAGAAATGGTAGAGGAAGCCTAGAGGCTCTCTAGCTAACATCCGAAAAGAAATAGAAACGGTAGGTAAAGCGAGTGGCAGAGAGAAGGGGAAGAGCCGACAGAAAGGAAACTAAGCCTTAGACGTCTACAGTACATTTCCGTAGAACTGGCCACACGAGAGGACCTGATTGCCCGGGCTTTGGGGCAGTGTCTCTGGGGCACAGACTTACGAGGCAGAAATTACCTGGTCTCTTCAGACAAAAGACCAGGAAGGCATTGAACATTTAGGTGGATGGACAGGTACTTTTAGAAATAAACTACTTCTTAGTATGCCTATCATCTGTGGCCAAGTCAAGAAGTTTCTAGTAAAAACAATGGGTGAGATGGAAATTACCCACATGTCCACTATAACTGCGAAATGTCACTGAGAGTTTCACTCGTGTATTTATTTGTTGGCTTGTTTTCCTGAAAGTTAAGAAATGACAGTGTTGTCACAAATGAAAAATAATGCCCTCAGCCACCCAGTGCCATCTTCCCCTTTCGGTCATAAGTTCCTCAGATGCTCCTTTTCCAAGTGGGGTTTTTAGTAACTTAATCTGTGGGTGGGAGAAAAAGCTGCTTTATTTTGCCATTACCAGAATATTTCGTGTTCTCTGAAAGGCTGACTTCGATGCAGAAGTAAATCAGGAAAGAGAAGGGGCCATACAGACTGCAGGGAAGAGAAAGAACTCTGAGAATATGTGACTTCTTCACTCGGCTCTGCCCCTGACCACCTGAAAAGCATTTCGTTTTCCAAACACACACCGAGGAGTCCCAGGTGCAAAGGGATATGGTCAGGTCAGCGGGGCCGCTGGATGTACTGCGGGCTGACCCAGACGGCAGAGGTGTGAACGCCCAGAAGACTTGGCAGCTGGCCCAGCTTTTGAGCTTTCAAAGGAGGAACACGAGAAATAGCTTTTAGCCAACACAATGTGTGACCTTGGAGAAGTCAATTCACCTTTTTGAACTTCAGCAGCCTCAGCTGCAAAGAATGGATGGAGTAGGACTGGTTCAGTTGTTTAATATGCAAAGAATATTTTAAGTATGGAAAGTCCAGTTAAAGAAAATGTTAAATAAAATTTTACATAATGTTACCCTATTATATAACATGATATAAGGTTGAAAGTCTGTACTAATTGGTTGAAAATGAGGAGGAGCCCATGGAACCCCTATTTCAGGCCAAGCCACCTCCAACTCCCAGCCCTTCTCTGAAAC